AAAAAAATTTCAAACTATAGTCAATATCTTTTAAAGTATACTGCATGAGTTTTTAACTGTACTCCGTGAAGTTTCCTATTTAACCGAGTATACTTTAAAGGATATTGACTATAGTTTGAAATTTTTTTTACTATGAATACCACCCAATGAGTTGTTGTTCTTTCCGTGTGGATGATTTTAATTATGTTTTTAATTTTTTAGCGGTATTTCTTCTTTCGGTTCCTGAAACTCCAACGTAGTTAACCTAAAAATATCTAAGAAAGATTTCTTCTTTCGATTCCTGGAACTCTGACGTAGTTCCTTGTATGTTTCATATTTCTTCTTGCAGAACTGACGAGTAAATTTTTTTTTCTGATTTTTTCTCCTTCTAATTTATCTTATAAATTATTTTTGATTTATTTTATCAATATTTTTTCATTGATTTTTTTTTTATCTGTAAGTAATCAAAAGGGTAATAATTACTCAGTTTGTTTGGGAAGAAATAATTTTGCACGAGCAAAAGCATTCACAAGCCTGAAAAATTTTTAAAGAAAAAAAAATGTTATGGATAATTTAAATTGTTTATAATTTTCTAGAGGTATTTTTTCTTTCGGTTCCTGGAACTGCAACGTAGTTCTTTGTATTTTTAGTTTTTTTTTCTCGCAGAACTGACAAGTAAATTTTTCTTAAAATTTATTTTTAAAAAAGAATTTGTAATTTATACTTACTATAAAAAATTAATTCTATGTTATAATTTATAATAAGAAGAAATTTGGAAGGAAAAAAAGGTGAAATTTTCTTAAAAGTTTATTCATTAAAAAGTACAACTCAAAAGTATATTTATTTTCAAACTCAGTGAAAAAATATTTGTTACATATTATTATTTTTAATACGGAAGAACATATTGTAATTGTTACATAAGTTTATAAATTTGTAATAAAATTTAAATAATAAAATAAAAATAACAATTTGTATATATATTTTTTTTAGAATATTAGCACTTATATCTAATTGCATTAGATAAAAAAATTTATAACAAAAATAAAAAATTGTTTTGATAGTTTGATTAAAATCTAAGTCACAGAAATAAAAACACTAGATGATTAATATGATTAATGACTGAAAGGTTAGAAATCAACCACCAGAGACTCATAAATATTAATAATAAATACTTATCATAAAAATAATTCATCGTAAGGCAGTGTAAAAAAAAGCCCCAAGTCTAAGTCTCGGGTGATTTCTTCTGACCTAAATTAAAAAAAAAACGACTCGTATGTTGGTCGCAAATGCTAATAGCCAACCCGGGTGCTCGAATTGCTTTGAAGAAAGAAGAACGGGTATTTTTACTGTTTCCCGCGAATCATGAGGTGCACTGTCAGGTTGGTCTTGCTTCATCTTTAGCTGCTTTGTTTCCTTGTTCCCGTTTCAAGGATATTGCACTCGTTTGATTGGCTTGTGATTAGTTTTTTAGTTCACTCCGGGTTGGCTCCAGGAAGTTTCTACTTTAACAACTGGAAAAAAAATAACTTGTTATTTTTATGATTTATTTCGTCCCGAAATTAAGAGAAAAAAAAATTAATTTATACTTTGAATCAAATTTTGAATTTTTTATCAAAATTAAGCAATTTTTTTGATAATTTACGTCTCAATAATAATAATAATAATAATAACTAGCAACCTTGCAGTCACTACGTGACTGCCGTGACTTGTAAACCATGAAAAATAAGTATTTTGCTTTCTTAAATAATGACTTTGATAAAATTGCACTGTACTTTCTTAACTAATGACGTTTTTAAAGATATAAGCTCATCGCGATGTTACACTCATCAAGAGCTTTCATATGAGTACCCACATTCATTTTTGATATATTTGTCATATATACATATATATAATATATATTTTAAAAATATAAGCTCATCCTGATGTTACATTCATCAAGAGCTTTCATTTGAGTACCCACATTTATTTTTTATATATTTTTCATGTATACATATATATAAATATATGAAAAATTGATGTGGGTACTCAAATGAAAGGTCTCGATGAGTGTACCATCGAGACCTTTCATTTGAGTACCTACATGCATTTTTGATATATTTTTCATATATACATATAAATATTATATATAAAAATATATGAAAAATTGATGTAGGTACTCAAATGAAAGGTCTTGAGGAGTATAACATCAAAATGAGCTTATATCTTTAAAAATGTCAAAAATTCACAAGATACAATGTCATTTCTTAATTATTGACATTTTTAAAGATATATACTCATTTTGATGTTACACTCATTGATACCTTTCATTTGAGTACCCACATGCATTTTTGATATATTTTTCATATATACATATATATAAATATGAAAATATGAAAAATTGATGTGGGTACTCAAATGAAAGGTCTCGATGAGTATAACATCAAAGTGAGCTTATATCTTTAAAAATGTCAATAGTTCACAAGATACAAGGTCGTTTCTTAATTATGTATCTAGAGACGATTTTCGAATGCAACCTAAATACTTATCATAATAAATTGACAGTGAGATTGATATGAAACCTTAAAAAGGCACAAATTCCAAGACCTTTGCAATGACACTAAATTTTCCTAAAAAAAACCGATTTTATATAACTATCCTGGAGACAAAATTTTTCTTAGTCTCTTAATAATATCCACAGCTGAAAATTTATTATTATTACTATTATTATTATTATTATTATTATTATTATTATTATTATATAATTTAGAAAAAAAAAAAAAATATTAAGAATGAGTAAGTACATGATAGTTCTGCTGAGGATGAAAACTACGAATATGTTTTTTAATTCCACCACTCCAATTGGACTCCTTGGGGCAGTACGGACACTTGTACCTCGGCGGTTTTTGGCACTGATAATTGATGTGCCGAGTGAGGTCCGCCTTGTACTTGTAGACTCTGGTGCAATGGGGATTAGGACAGACAAAGTTCCCGGTTTGCTTCTTGGTGGTGATGCTCAGCTCGATGACGTTTATTTGATCGGTGGGATGCCGGCTAGCGGCGTGATTCAACACGTAGCTCTTCCAGGGCGACTGATAATTGCAATGGGAGCACATGTACCGCGGAGGCTTCCCACACTCGTAATTCATGTGCTTGGTTAAGTTATTCTTCCACTTATAGACGCTATTGCAGTTCGGGTTGGGACACCGGTACTCCACGGGCTTGACCGTTACGCCGGACGAGGAGGCCAGCGGGTCCTGCTTTATTTGCTTAGGTTTCATCTTCAAGCTAGTCTGTATCTGAGATAGTCTGTATACTGAAACCAGCAAACAAGGCAATTCTTTCGTTATATTGGGCTTTGGAACGGGCTAGTTCTAAGGGATTAAGGCTAGCTTTATGCACAAGCGGTAAGTCATGCTTCATTTCACTACTGATCTAATAAAAAAAAATTGTGTTGATTTTTTTTTTAATTACAGGCCCATTTTTTCTTGCGAAATTTTGGAGGGTTGTTTTTTACCGCTTTAATTTTTTTTTAGTGTAATTTTTTTGTGAGTTTGGTAAAATGTATATCTTCAGTGTTGATATCTGGAAGAAATTTTTTAAATTAGAAAAGAAGAATTTAGTTTTTGTTAGACGTTTAAAAATTTTTAAATTTTAATAAAAAATTGATTTTATTTATTAAAAAAAATTGTTTTTCATTAATTTATTTTAATTAAAAAAATTTATTAAATTAATAAAAGAAATTTAATTTTTGAAAAAATTTAGTTAATTTTAAATAAAAAAAAAAATTTAATTTATTTTAAATAATATATTTAATTAATTAAAAATAAATATGAAATTTATTTAATTAAAGAAGAAATCAAAATTTATTTTATTTTGTTAAAAATTTTTTTTTCATTAATTTTAAAAATACATTTAATTTAGTTAAAAAAATTTAATCTATTTTAATAAATATATTTAATTAATTAAAAATAAATTATTATAAAATTCATTGAAGATTTATTTAATTAAAGAAGAAATAAAAATTCTGTTTAATTAAAGAAGAAATAAAATTTCTATGCAGAAATTTAATAAATTGTAAAAGCGACAAAATGGCGAATATAAATAAAAATGGCCGCTTAGCAAATTTAAAAAAAAAATACGTCTAACAATTCCTAAAATTCTTCACATAAAATAGTAATTAAGGATTTAAAATTAAATTTATTTAATACAAACAATTAAATTAACAACAGATAAAATGAGGTTATGAAATTCTTAAATTAAGGTTATAAATTTCATGGAGCAAGCGAAGAAGTCTCTGGAACAGTGACAGACTCTTGGAAGATATCAGACATATTTGCTACCAAATCTTGGATTCATGGAAGTGTCTTATACTACGATAACAATCGTCATCGTTCTCGCCTGCAAGCATATTAATAGTAATTATTATCTGTTCTTAATTTTCAGAAATTTCTTCAGTACTTAGAAGATTAATTTTTACCGTGGAACTGATTTGTTTATTTGATTTCTTCAGCAAAGAAATTTTATCATCAGAGTTTGTTGATGTTAATTAAAGCGATAATTTATTTTTAAAATAATTTGTCAACAGATTATTATTATCTTAGATTTTATCTTTAATAACTTGTAAGAAGATTATTAAATTTTTATCTTTTATTTTTAGATTTTAATTATTTAATATTTTAATAAATAAAAAATTTTCAATTAAAAAATTCTTTAGTTAATTTTAAAAAAATTAATTTACTTGTTTAAAAAAAAAAAAAATGACTAAAAATTTTTAAGTGAAATGCTGAAGCTTAAATTAAAAAAAAAAATCTTAACCGCATTTTTAGTCTGAATTTTGTAGCTCTTATCGTTGACAATCGCTCCTAATTTTCTCCAGCTGCTCTGTAACCAGACAAGGTTCCAATAAAACGCCTCCAGCTTCTTCAAAATTTATTTATTCAATAAAATCCAACTTACAGGGGATAAATATCAATATTTTATTTTAATATATATTCTTCACAATAAAATAAACTTTATAAATATATATATCATACCTCAACAGTCTAATTGTGCTATCAGTGCTTATAATAATAAAAATAATTTATATAAAACTTTTTAAATAAAATAACTCCAGTTAGGTTAGTAAAATTTCAAAAGTTTAATACTTGATTTGTTTTAGATTTAATTTGTAACAGCCTGATCTTTACTTGTAAAAATATATTATCTATCTCTAAGCTAAATATAGAATTTTTCTATGTATATTTGTAAATATATATATATATTTTTTTTTCTATGTATAAGAGTCATATATTTGGCATTTATTTTTGGCAGTTTTGTGATCCCTTCACAATTCTACGGACTCTTTTGAACAATGCCCTCTGTTACTTTTAATTGATATATTAAAAAAAATCCCAACTGTTAATAAATATTGTGAAGTTTGAATTTTGGTAATATTTCTTCAGAAGAAATTTTTGGTAAAAAAATTTAGTTTTTTTGATAATTTAGTCTTTGGATCAATATTCTTCTCAAGAATTATTCAAAATTGTTTTTTTTTTGGATTTAAATTTTTATAAAAAACTTATTAAATTACTTTTAAGAGATTTCAAATTTTTTGTATCATACCCAGCATGATTTTTGTTTAAAATATTCAAATTAACAATTGTCTGACATTTTTTTTTATTAAAAAAAAAAATGATTAAATTTAAATAAAAAAATTTTCCTCAAAAAAAGTCCAAAATTTTTAAAATAATTCAAAAATTTTCTATTTAAATTTTTTATAAAAGTAAATGTATCTAATATAATAACAAATTTTGTAAAAAAAATTCTTCTAATATTTCTTATTTAAATAAAAAATTTCTTCAATAATAAAAAAAAATTCTTCAAAATTTCATTTTAAAATAAAAATAAATTTATTTTTAAAATATTTAATATTTTATAAAATATTTTTTCTATAGAAAAAAACTAATTCATTTATTAATAAAAAAATTTATATAAAAAAAACATATTTCTTTTTTAAATAGAAATTTAATTCTTCGATTAAAAGAGAATTAAAAAAAAAAAAATTCTCTGAATTCACTTAATAGAAAAGCTATTTAAAATTTTGTTTAAAATATTTAAAAATAAAAATGACTAGACTTTAATTATTATAAAAGAAGAAAATAATAAATATCAGACAATTTCTATAAAAAAATTAAGAAAATTCAAACTTCCTAAGAATAAAAAAAAGTATAAATAAAGAAATAAGAGGGTTATTTGGTGAAAGCAGTGCCGCCGTGAATGTTGAGAATGTGCTGCTTGAGATGATCTGGCCTGCAGAAGTATTTCCCGCAGAGCGTACAGGTGAAGGTGTACCTGGATCCGAGTCCCCCGCACTCGTACCTAGAGTGTCTGGTGAGGGAGGACCGCGAGCGGTACCCGCGGCCGCACATCACGCACCGAAAGCGCAGTTCCCCTGGGGAGCCGGCCTCCGTAGTCCCGGGACTCGCTGTAAGCACACACAGGGAGGAAATCCTCTGTTTATATATCAAGTACCTCAGTACAGCAATTAAGGGGATGATCATACATTGAATCCTTGTTACGTGATTTAATTACCACCCCAAATTTTTCTCATAAATTTAATCTTGGATTTATCGTCTGTGATTATAAGCTCGGCCAAGCGCCAGTTTGTTTTGACTTTGCAAAAATTATTTTAATTTCAAAAAAATAATTTTAAAATTCTCAATAAATAATTTTAAATAAAAAATCTAATTTTAAAAAAATTATTTTAATGCAAAGTCTCACAATTATTTCAGGCTGTTATTTACATGCTGCCCCATAAAAAAAAATATATTTATATATTAGTCAATTTTTACACCGTGGAACAACCCAACGTATTAATTTCAATTAAAATTTAATTCCAATTTAATTTAAAAAATTTAATCATCTATTTCTTTAAAATTTAATTACATTTATCCTTACATCCCTTACATTAATATTTTACACCCTCGTTAATTATTTTAATTTAATAAAATACTTTCTTATTATTAAAAATTTTATTTGGGGAATTTGTACATCTTCTCCTTGAAGTGATCAACGCTGGTGAGGTCCAGCGAGCCGTCGGAAGCCTGCTCAGGAAAACACTCGGCTATGTGTCTCATTAACCCGCCTCTATACTTGTAACTTTTGCCACAGCTAGGACAAGCGAGTCTGCGATAATCTGTCATTGGGTGAAGCTGACCCGCCGAGGAAGCTGCTCCTGATATTCGGTGTATAACTGCAAGCATCCAGATGAGAGCTTTGTCATCTCTGCCCAATTTATCACCGACAATTTGCCGTCTCTTTTTTTTTTACTTAGTGTTAGTAAATTTTAAAAAAATCGATTTTAATCAATTTAAAAATTAAAAATTGTTTTTCAGCAAAAAAAAATTTATTAAAAATTTTTCAACGTCAATAAAATTTATAAGTTAAAAAAAATTGAATTAAAAATTTTTTCAAGTTAAAAAAATTAAATTAAAAATTTTGAAGAGTCAAAAAAAATTTTCTAAAGTTGAAAAAAAATTTTTTAAATTGAAGAAATAATTTTTAAATTGAATTAAAATCGATTTTTTTCCCAAAATTAAAAGCTAATGATCCTGAAAGCGGATTAAGGATAATAAATAAAAAGATTTTAAAATTCATTTTTTTTTTTTTTGTAAATTTATTAAAATGTCGTTGTTCTAGTTGATGATGATCCACAGTTGGTACAGTTGATACAATTGAAGAAATATTTCAAATTTAATTTTAATTTAAAAAAAAAAGTAAAAAAAAAATTTAATCATGAAATATAATAAAAAAAAATTGAAAAATATGAAATTATTTGCCGACTCCATGAAGAGGATGGTGAAGAAATGTGGACCGTTCTTGAAGACTGGGCAGCGAATCTTCTTGATGAATTTTTATATGATTCTTATTAATATTTTAATAATTTTTTTCTTTACTAATAAATAGTGTGAAAAATCAATTCGATTCTAAACGCGGGGCGAAGAAAATAAAACAATTTTTTATAGACAATTTTGTTTGGTTTATTTCGGCGAGGGCCTGACAATTTTGATGTACAATTATAAAAACGCGTACAATAATTAATCGAGTGACTCTAATATTTTTTTTAAATAAAAGTAACAATTGATAAAAGAATTAAAAACTAATAACAAAAATTTTTGGTGATTCGAAACAATTTTTAAAAAAAATTTCAATGGAACTTTGCGTCACAATTTTTAATATAAAATTCTAGAAATAAAATAAAAATATAATTTGCATACTTGTGACGTAAAGTTCCAGGAAAGAGTGACTCCTTTGGATGTGGGTGCTGTTGGACTGATCCGCGACCTTTGGACCGCAAAAGATTCACGCAACTTACAGTCACACTACGAAGGAAGAAATCTATAGGAGAAATAAATAAATTAATTAGACAATCGATAATTAATTGCATGAAAAATTCCCAGGCGCCTTGAGAATTAGTCACAGGAATTAATTATTGATTGGTTAATTAATCATTTAACTAACGATGGAATTTTAGCAGCTCATTCAAGCAAGTTAGTCATACTGAGGCGAGCTGTAAGGTAACTTATTAAGACAATTTTATAAAATAGTTTAAAATATACAATTTAGCAATTCATTTTCATTCATGGTGGATTTGAGGAGGAAGTAAGGTGAGGAGAGGAAATATCATTGAAAATTACACCGAGAATGATTTTTTTGTTTAAAAAAAAAAAAAAAAAAAAAATCAAGAAAAATTTAAAAATTTGTTAAAATTTCAACATTCTTGGTGTAATTAAATAAAAAATAATCAAAGGTCACCCTGTACGCCGATACAACGTACAAGATTAAATACTTACGTGAAAAAAATATTTTACCTTTTTATTTTTAATAAATTAATTAATTATAAATAATAAATTAATTATAAATAATCAATTAATTATAAATAATTAATTTATCAATTTTTTTCTGACATCATCTTCTTAAAAATTGACACTGCTGTGAATAAAAAATTAGACATAAATTTGAAGAAAATCTGTAATAAAAAAAAAATTAAAATGTTGATAACTAAAAAAAAAAAAAATGATAAGATTTAATGTTACAAAGTTCATAAATTCTAGCGAATAAAATTCAAAAAAATTTCAACGTTGGACATTATAAATAATTATATAAAATCAATAATATGTTATAAATAATTTCCTGAAAGAAGAAATATTTAAAAAAATTTTTACAAGTTTAAAAATATCGGAGATAAATAAATAAAGTGTATAAAATATAAGATATGACTGATTACCAATAGACCCAATATAATACATTACCAAGAGGTGAATGAACTTCGTTGAGTGTTAAGTGATGCGTGATGGTATCTGAATGTTGGACTAGAAAAAACTCTCTAAAATCGGAGAGTTCTTTTCTTCTTGACAATTACCCGAATAAATACACTTCTTCCATTCCATCGACTTACGCACGTGAAAGTCATTATTTTAAACCGGACTCTAGAATAAATCAAGCGAGCTAGCTCAAGCACTGATTTTAATAATAGAGAACGAGTTTAAGATCCTGGCTTTCAAGTTGGCGATACAAAGGAAGGTTTTTTTTTTTTTTGATGATTTCTTCAGCTTCTTTCTTCAACTGTTGGGAAAAAATTTTTTTACAAGGTTTGATTATTCAAGATTGATGAATAGATTTTACACTTTCGAATTTAACTACAGTGATTAATTCAAGAAGAAAAAGTCTTGCTTCGAATTAATACTGTAGAATAAATTGCGAAATTTTATGCTGAAAAATTAAAAATTACAATTCAAATGTTCAATTTGAATACTATTATTTAAAAAATGATGTTTCAAATTTAGCTGAAGAAATTAATTATAAAAAAAATATTTATAACTAATTTTTGCAGAATAAATTTTGAAACTTGGCTGAAAAAATTTAATTAATTAATACAAGACATGTTTTAAAAATTTATAAAAATTTGAAGACACTCCATTGAATTGTTTTAAATTTAACTGTAAAAATTAATTCAAGGAAAAAAAGTTCTGGAATTAATTTGTACAGAATAAATTATAAAACTTAGCTGGAAGGAAAAATTGTATTAAATACAAAATACATTTTTAAAAACGAAAGATCAATTTAAATACAAAAAAAAAAAATTGTATTCAACAAGATGAAATCCATTGAAGTGTTTCAGATTTAACTGTAAAAATTAATTGAAGAAAAATTCTAGAATTAATTTTTGTAGAATAAATTGTGAAACTTGGCTGGAAGAAAAAATTGAATTAGATACAATATATTTAAATAAATAAATTTGAAGAATTAGAATACAGAAAATCTGTATCTAATTTCATAAATTGATGAAGATTAGTTGAAGCGTTTCAAATTTAACTGTAAAAATTAATTGAAGAAAAACTCTTTAATGAATTATTACAGAATAAATTGTGAAACTAAGCTGGAAGAAATTTTTAATTAAATATACAAGACAGTAAATTAGAATACAGAAAAAGTCTGTATCTAATTTATAAAAAAAATATTCAATAAAAAAAATCCATTGACGTTTCAAATTTAACTGAAAAAATTAATTGAAGATCAAATAATCTAGAATTAATTCTTGCAGAATAAATTATGAAAATTGACTGAAAAAAAAATATTACAATTAAAAATACAAAACAATCATGATTAGAGTACAGAAAAAGTCTGAAACTCTTTGCAATAAAAATATAAGTCTTCTTTTCTTCTTTCCTGAAAATGAGAAAAAAAAATACCAACAATTTTATTTCAAATTTAACTGTAGTTAATTAAAGATTCATAAAAATAAATTGAATTTTTAATTAATTTTCAGAATAAATTATGAAAACTTGCAATAAAAATTTCTAAACATACAAAAATCGGTCGCGCAAGCGCAACTTTATTTCAATCACTCTCTCATTCAACAAAAAAAATCAATTATACAAAATTACAAGGTTACAAAATTTAATAAATAAAATTGACAATTCAAATATCATATAAAAAAATATCTTACCAATACCAATTACCTTTGTACCTTATTACCTCTTACCAATTACCTTTTATCAAAAAACTCCAAGCGCAGCAACTTGAACAAAAGGCTCAAGTCGCGCGTAGAAAATCAGCATCAGCCAGAGCGCAAAAGGCGCACTGGCACTCTTCATTCTTCATTCTTCTCTCTTCTCTCTTCAAAAATGTCCATTGAAAAAAATTGATTAAAGAGTAAAAAGGTCAGCTCAACTCAAACAAGAAATGGCTTATTTAAATAAGCGCCCGATTCACTCTTTCTCTTCTTCGCCTTCTTCATCTTCTTCCCTAGACACTTGGATAAAAAACACGAAGCATAAGCAATGAACATGGTCATGAAATACAAGTATGACAGTTCAAAAAAAATAAAAAAAAAAAATAATAAAAATACAATACCAATTAACAATCGATATAAAAATAGTTTACAATATTTTGTTTAAAATTAATTAATTCTAACAATATTATTATGTACCATAGGGCTAATATGGACATTATAAATGTATGTATGAATTATAGTATCAATATTAATAACAATAATTATAATAAATTCATATATACATGATGAAAAAAATATGCAGTACATTTATATGTAATATGGGTTAATAAACAATTGATGTATATGCGTTACGAACAAATAAGCGAGTTATGTACACGTGGGTTAGTAGAAAATTAATTAATATTTATAAATATTTTTTTAAAAAAATATTTATAATATCGACTGATATAATTTATATTTTAATAAAAATATGTATGTAGAGGGACGTGTTTACCTGCTACAAAATTAACAAACTCTCAAGGGTCTTACCACCACCACGATAATTTTGTAGACAAATACACACGTTTGTTAAGAGTTATTCTACTGAAGGAAGCGTTGCATGCAAGACGTAAGAAATAATAAAATGGCACAATATGGAGGATTAATTTTTTTTGCTCACACTTGTGATTAATTATCGTACGAAGGACCTTTTTTTTTTTTTTAATTAATTAATTAAAAAAAATTATTTGTAATGAAGAAATAAATTTGGGACTAATTCTAGCGTGCAAAGGCCGATCGTACGTAAATTAATTATTTAAATCCAATTGTGAAGAAAGGAAAGAAAAGAATCGAGTAATTGGAAAAAATAATATTAAAAATGAAGTGCAAGCGTGCCATTTGAGTGTGAACACATTTATGTCCCGTATTTAAATTACGATTATCCAAGAGTATCCTCCCTTTTGTTAGACTAATTTTTTTTTTAACAATCCAATTAGACATTAATTAATTAATTTTTACATTTATTTTGTTACCAAGTGTAACATAAGTTCTACAATACGAACACGACAAAGGGTGGTATCTTGACTCTTGTATGGGGAATTTTTTTAATAGGGAGTTAGCGAACGAACGAGGAAAATTTTTTTTTATTAAAATTAATTTTTAAAAAAATTTCCTTTTTCGTTGTGGCTTGTTCACAAACATTTATATTATCTGAACTACGCGCTGCAGACAACGTGGTACAACATCGGTACTAAATTACGAACTCTATATAAAAAATAATAAAATAAAAATTCAAAAAAAAAAAATTAAATTAATTAAAAAAAAAATAAAATAATTTAAAATTGGACCTTTAAATTGTGGGTAAGATTTATTAGACGCGTCCACGATTCAAGGTAACAAGTCTCTGAATAAAAAACGACCATCGATCAATGCGAGCGAAAATTATTTTCCGGTAGTAAAATTATTATTTAAAATATTAAAATTAATTACGGACGATTTTTAAAATGCGGACGTAAAAATAGATAATGAAAATTTAGAAGGCATCGACCGCTAGCATTGACAGAGAGGTCGTTCCCTCTCTCTCCGTTTTACCTTGAGCATCCCACGTTGGACCGTCACCGCTCGACGATCTCTAACCTACACCGATAGACTACCTCCTGATTTATCGCCGTAAATACCCGAGAAATTTCAAGTTAACTACACGTGGCTTAAATTAGCCAAGTTAACTTGACCGGTTGCTAAAAAATTTCCGACATCTGCGAAATTACGTTGACTCCTTTTGGCTTTGCCATCTGGCGACAGCTGTACAGGCAGATGTACAGCGAAAAAATATTCAACAGCTGCGCGTTTTTCTCATACCCGAAAAAATTGTTTTTTTAATAATTCGCTCAATATTTAAGATTGTGATTTTGCGTTATCTTGATACGTGTCGCGAGAGCATAGAACCCGAGAATGGAATCTAGGTCGTGCTCTCTCTTTCTAGCTTCTCACGAATGTTAAACGCGTCCGTTCTATTAAAGCAGAGAAGAGTGGATAGATATATACTTGTTGATTCAAGTTGCCGGCCATACGCGGATGAGATCTGCCTTTTGCGAATACAAATACGTAGCAGAATTTTAAATTTCTTGCTGAGTATAATATATAATATAATATTATATTAGGAGGCTGGCTTGTCTGAGACCCCGGGGGTCTTTCAATACTTGGTTAGTTGCTGCGATAAGTTTCTCTTCTAAGCTCTCAATAGAGACCAAGGCCAACAACTTTACGTGGGAACGTCTCTGCGAAGTCTCTCCCTTCTCTTTAAATTTATTGTTAAAAATTTACAAACTCAACCGCGAATTTTTAATCAATTTTTTTATACTTTATCTCATTTTTAAAAATTAGAAAAAATTTTTTTTTCATCGGGTGGGTGTTAATTAATTTTTCTTCTTCTGCAGGATTAATTAAAGTCTCTCCCCTTTTTTCTAGGAGCTAAAAATTTTAAAAGTCGACCGGAAAATTTTTTAATAAATTTTTTTATACTTAATCTCGGTTCTAAAAATTGGAAAAAAAATTTTTTTTTTGTCGGGAGGGTATTAATTAATTTTCTTCTTCTGGTGGATTATTTTTATCAAGGAGAGAGAGGACGCGACAACACGTTACGAGAATTAAATCTCGCAGCGCGTGGAAGCGGAAGAAATAATAAATAAAATAAAGATCCAAATTGAAAGAAAAAATAAATAGTAATTTTTTTTATATATTTTTTGGGAAAAATATATAGTGCCCTAATTAAAAAAAAAATAGAGAACTGAGAGTTCTTTCAGAGACCGTGCTACGCTTGAAACAACACCGAATTCTTCGGTTGAACCACATTGTCCGGCAACGAAAATTTAAGCCTCGACTCGCCTGCGCAATGGGCACTTAATTTTTTAATTAAATAAAAAAAAAATATCAAGAATGGAATTTTATCTGATTTTCAAATGAGTAACTCATTTATCGAAGCGGAAATTATTACGCGATTATGTAATTATTTTGATTGATAAAAAAAAAATGTTGAAAAATTTAGAGATTAAATTGTGCCGATTGTTACGGGAGCCGAAGGCAGGTATAAATTGGCGAGTTGTGCCTACCTTGAGAGTCGCGGTGTGCCTGCGCAGCTTCCTGGGCCTGCATAAAAACTTCATCGTTAGAACCAGGTGCTCCAGCAACTACAGATCCGACAACGCCTCCCGCGTTACTTCGGTCGCCAGTTACATGCCACGATCCAAGGCCTGTAATTAACAATAAAAAAAAAAAAAGAAAAATAAGTTAAAAATAAAATTTATAAAAAAAATAAAGTCATTAAAAATATATAAAATTGAATTTGAAGAATAATTTTTATCAGATATTTTTTATGTGCGTTACATTTATTTCTATTTTCTATTACAAGCTAGCAATTATCTATATGTGATACATTTATTTTTATTACGTAGTTAGGAATTTTTTTTTTTTTTAATTAAAATTTAATAACAAATACTGTTTGAATCAGTCTAAAGTAATTATCACCAGTGCATTAGAGATAAAGTTATCTAGGATAATTATCAATTGGCAATTAAATTCGAATTTTCATTGTAAAAATTCCTTTTTATAGAATATTACAGTGAGTTAATCTATTTTATTTTTTGCCGTAACTTGTGAACTATAATAAATTGAAATTTTGCTTTATTAAATAATGAATTTTGTTTAATTGCACTGTTCTTTGTTAAATACTGACAATTTTGAAGATATAAGCTCATTCCGATGTTACACTTGTCAAGAGCTTTTATTTGAGTACCCACATGCTTTATTGATATTTTTCATGTATACATATATATATAATATGTATTTTAAAAATATAAGCTCATACTGATGTTATACTGATCAAGAGCTTTCATTTGAGTACCCACATGCATTTTTGATATATTTTTCATATATACATATATATAATATATATAAATATATAAAATATATGAAAAATTGATATGGGTACTTAAATAAAAGGTCTCGATGAGTGTAACATCGGGATGAGCTTATACTTTAAAAAATGTCAATAGTTCACAAGATAAAAGGTCATTTCTGAATAAATTATTGATGCTGAATGACTAGAGCAGAGGCGGGTTGTCTCCAACGTCGTCTTACGACATTTAATTTTTTCAAATAAAATTGCAGAGTAGATCGATTAATCCCGTACATTTCAGACGCATGAGTAGTACTGACACCTTGCTGTAATATCGCTTCCAGGGATTTTTTAACGCAGTCTAAACTATATTTTCTACCCTGTTTGTTGGCGAGTGACTTGAGCAACGCGGACACGTCAACATCCGGACGCGATTCTCGTCGCTGATTAATATAACAATTGCTGACAATCGATACCTTTTTACAATCGAGGAAATGAGATGCCCAGCTGGTGGTGTCCGTCTCACCACCAGCGACCAAATTACCGCTCGTACAAGACCGCGCTCCCCCCCTACCTGCAACGAGGAAACCCAAGCTCTAGATGGAGAATTTTCCTCCCGGTATAATGTTGGGACAAAATAAACTCAAGATCATTCAATCATTTCTTAGGAAATAATTGAAGAAAAATTACCGCGTTTGAAGACATTTTTTTCCGAGAATCTACCTGATTTTTTATCAGCTGATCAACAGTATCTATTATTTTTTTTTTTTTATTTATTTATTAGAAATTTTATTCTCCAAGTTCAAAATAAAAAATTAAAATCTGGGATAAATTTATTAAGGATTGAATTTTATTTTAGATACGTACCAGGGTGGGAGGGGTCGTGAGAGGGTCCAGCTCTGTTTCCATCATCCATAGTGTCATCCATTCCTTCGTCATCAAGTGTCAAGTCTTCAACACTGTCCTCGGCTTCATCCAGGTACTCAGACTTTGGCTCAATCAGTGTGTCATTAGGCTCAGGTTTTTCAACAGGCATCTGTAATTAATTATTTTAATAATTAATTATTATTATAATTTTTTTTTAAATCATTATTAATATTATCATTTTATTTTTAATTATTATTATTCATTATTTATTTTTTTTATTATTGTTATTTATTTTTATAATTATTATTATTTTAAGGATTGATAAAAAGAATAAAAAAAAACTAATCAAGAAAAAATAATAATAAATAAAAAAAAATTAAAAAATAATTGTTAAAAAAAAATTGTCTCATGCTGTTTCCGCACTGAAAGGTGTCATGGTAATAAGACGCGACAGTAGGATAGAGCAAGAATTTAATCTACCAACGAAGCGAGAGAAAATAAGTATCAAACTTAAATTCCATTAGGCGCTGGTGTAATCAGATACTTAATATAAATATTTTTTTTCCACGAAAAAAAGATAAGAAAATTTTATTACTTGCGATTTTCGAGGAAATAAAAATAAAAAAAATTTCAAGAATCATGAAGTTAAATTGAAAATAATTACCGTTAGCATATCGTCAGCGGGTTTAGTCAGTTGTTGCATAAGTGCGGATCTGCCAAGAGCGTCAGATGGGTCAGACATTGATTTTTCATCGGCTACCGGGGCAACACCAAGAGCAGGCACGTTCAAGGGTTGATGAGACATGTCGCTCGAGTTTGAGGTTTCGTGGTTGTCAATTGGGTTGTCATCATTTAGACTTCTTCGCCTGTATCTTTTACGTTTTCGTCCGTTTGGACTTACTGAGCCTTCCCTGTTTAACAAAAAAAAAAAAAAAAAAAAAAAAAAATTAAAATTAATTAATAAAAAAATGACTAAGAAAATTTTTTAATAAAAAATGACCAAAAATTTAATTAATAAAAATGGAGCAAAAAAATTTTTCCATAAAAAAAATGAGCAAAAAATTTATTTAAAAAAAAAAAAAAAATGAGTAAAAAATGATTTATAAAATTTCAAGTCAAAAAAATAATAAAAAAAATAAATTACCTGGAGGAAATGCCTTTTGATAAAGAGGGACTTGCGGAATCTTCGGGTAAATCGCCAACAGAGGTCTGGGCGAGACTTTGACGAGGAACTTTATTATTTTTCTCAATTGTGAGGCCGGAAGACGAGTGAGGAATGTCCAACGAGGGGGCTGAGGGTGCAGTCTTTTGTGATCTTGTTTCTGCCTTACTGCTACTTGTACTACCACTGCTGCCGGTTTTACTTTCCGAGAGCCCTTTGATTTGTAACGACTCGGCGGCTTTTAAAAGAGCTGCCAATTGGTCCTGAGAGATGTTCACCTCTCCTCTGTACATGTAGTCCATCATGGCTTTTAATTCTTTAAACTTGACATCTTTAAGGATGAAAACAGGATGTTTGTCATAGTGCTCACTAAGAAGACCCTGTTAAAAAAGTTTCAAATTAAAATCTCAGCCCATCAAACTATCAAAGTATTAAATCAAGAGGAGTGAGTATTGATTGAGTCATAAGGCATAAAAAGTAATCAGGGCAAGTGCCCTGGAACAGCCATCTTGCTTTCCCTGTATTGATCAGGACTAACCGCAGGAGGGGAGGCAGATTGCTGCCCCCTCTCCTCGTCTCTCCTGTTTCCCAGGTCTCGCGGTTCTGCTTCTGCTTCGTCTGCTGGCCGCCATCTTGTGTTTCGACATCACCTCCTCACCTCTCTTTCTATTTGGTATTGATCTAACGCTCGCTTGAGCTGCTGACGCCAACCACTATCGACCTGGTCTTTTATATTTTTTTTTTCTACCTCTCCCTAGTTATTTTCTCTTTTTATTCTCATGAAACTCAACCAAATGACTCAATCGTTGAATATTTTTACCGTTACTTTTTTTTTTTCTTTATAATTTAATATTAAATTAATGTTTTAGTTTTTAATAAAATTATTTTCAAGATTCGGACTAAAAATTTCAAGTAAAAAATTTTCAGGATTTTTATTCAATTTTTTTTTAATAAAATAATTTTCAATATTTAAATGAAAATTATTTTAATAAAAAAAACTTCAAGATTTCAGCAAATTTAATTTTTTTAGATAAAAAATTTCAAGATTTTAATATCAATTTTTTTTTTTTTAATAAAAATTTTTAAGATTTGATAAATTTTTTTCAATAAACTTTCAAGATTTCGATAGAAATTTTTTAAATTTTAATTCAAATTTTTTTTTTATAATAATAATTTTCAAGATTTTAATTAATTTTTAAGATTTGATTAAAATTTAAAGACAAATATATTTTGCAACAGTAAAAATATTTTAAAAAATAAAAAAAAAGTTAATTATTTTTGAATAATTACCTCAAAGTATGGACTACACGCGGAGAGGACAACTTTGTGGGCTTTAAGGTATTTCCCCTCCGCTGCCAAGGTGCAGTCGACCAAGGTACCGCTTTCCAGCAATGTATCAAAATTTTGAATTAACGTCGTTTGGTGATTGTTCCACCTAAGGCAGAACTGCTGATCGTCCTCCATGTTAACTTCTCTTTGTCTCAGCTTTGTATCAATAACGGTCAGGATGAACTGAGGGATCACAAATAGAAGCCAAAATTTAATAAAAAATACTTGTTAATTAAAAAATTCATCAGTCTTGGCACAAACGGTAATTAAATTGCGTTGGTTTTTTAATAAAAACTTAATTAAAAGAAATAATAATTGGTGACGCGACGCGAAAGCTCCGTGTTGTTGAAGAGAAGCTTCCAAAATGGCTGTGATGCAAGCGCGTCCGGCTAGTCTGGCCTTTTTCCTTTGTGCGTGTCCTCCTAACGGTAACGACTTTGCTCTAAACCACTGAGTGGGGATGATGCGGGAGGTGAACTAATGTATTGCGCAGACGCGACATGGAAACTTCGAGTTATCCAATTCTGCGCGTCAGCTTACTGCGCAGCTAACGACTACCGGCTTGCAAGAAAATCAGGGATGGCCCAATAATTTTCGTGCCCGAAAATCTAATTTTTTTTTTCAAAAATAAATTTTAAAAAAATTTCAATTTCTAAAAAAATTTTCATTTTCAAATTTCAATAAAATTTTACTTTCAATAAAATTTTACAAAATAAAAAAAAATAAATGCAAAATTTAATAAAAAAACAACTTCAAAAAAATTTTCAATTTTAAAAAATAAAAATTTCTGAATTTTAATTTAAATTTACAAAAAAAAAAATTATTAATGCAAAATTCAAGAAGAAAAATCAATTGAGCAAGTTTAACCGCGCAAACTCAGTTTGTACTATTATTATTGTTATTATTATGAAATTAAATGGTGGGAGCGAAGCAACGATCGACCAACTTGATTATTAACGCTTGCGCGCCAACGATTGCGTAATTTATTTATATTATTATTGAGATGAAATTGCATTACTCATGTTGAGGTAAAAAATTAATTTATTCTGTTTAGTTAACCCGAAAAAAAATAAAAAATATTATTTATAAATTTTATTTCAACTCAATTAATTATTAAAAATGTTAATTAATAAAAAAAAAAATTTTTTTGCGTTGTAAATTTTAGGACTAAGCACGAATATTAGTCCCCTCTTTTCCAAGTACGAATTCCCGTGGAAACAACGGCAACAGGGGCACTCAATATGGCGGCGAACGGGGTCGAACCCGGACAAAATGGCGAAAACTCGAAAGAAAATTACGCGAAAAATATTAAATTATTTTTTTAAAACTTTAAAAATACGTCGTAAGCTCAATAAATAATTTTACGACGATTAGCTAATCGTTAAATAATTAATTAAGTAAGAATTGTTATGTAAATATTTGTTAGGAATTAGTATTGATCGCATGCACGATTTTCCAGCGTCACGTTTGCGGAATTTAGATTTAAAATCGCGAGATTTTATTGTTATTTTATTTAAATAATAATAATTATAATTAATGACTCACCAGAGATTGTTATTTTGAAAAAATCACAAAATATTATTTAAAATAAAAAGTTAATTAAAATAAAACACCCTGGAGCTTCCAACACGACGTGCGTTCTAAGCGCTGCCCTTCACGACAATGGCGTAAGTTCCGTTGCGCGACCCCACTTTGCCGTCGCCACCATAGAACCGACGCGCAACGCCGGCTTTAAGTGAGAGAGAAAGAAATAGAGAAATTTTCGATTACCATGCACGTACCGATCCCCCTTTTCCGGAAACTCGCTCGTAAAAAATGCAAAATAATTATTTTAATAAAATTCAAATTTTTAATTAAAAGCGCGCGAAATTTTAAATTGTTATTTTAAAATTAAAATTTTTAAAAAATAAATTTATTTAAAAACACATGTTCTATTTTTAAAATTAATTAACAATTAAAATTAATTATAATTATTAAAAAAAAATAAAAAACAATTGTTAGAAAAATAAAAAAAAAAACATTTCATAGATTTGTCGCGTTCATGGACATACAATGGCCGCCTAGATGAACAAACGAGACAAGATGGCGATGCGTGAAGAAAAAGCGCGGAAAAATGACGCAATTAATTCATAAAATTACTTAAATAATTAAAAATTTAAATTAATTCAATTAGTTTTAATGTTAGATAATTAAATATTAATAATTAGAATAATAAAACTTAAAAAAAAGCGAGTTATTTAAAAACGTGGAAAGGACGCCGCGTCACCATTCGCGTAAAAACAATTTTAGTAAAAAAGGTAATAAATTTTTTAATTGTTAATAATTAATAATATTGCTTAATGGATAATTAACTCACCTCGTTGGCACAGTGTACAATATCACAAATTGTAAAAAAGGAAAAACTATCTCCGGCTGTCCGGTCTTGTTACACTATCCTTACGTCTTGGGCTCTTTCAACACAATGGCTGTGGAGTTCCTTTGGGCTGCAACGATCGAACGAGGTCCAACACAGCCCAGCAAGCAAGCTTCGACGGAAATTCAAGAGCTCGGTGGGGAGCAAGCGGCGCAGTTTACAAGTTACAGTCTACTGCGCAGCTAATAGTTTTCTGTGGAACGCGTCCAGTGAAAAGGTCCAAGCCCGCTCAAGAAATTTTCAGGGCCCCAGGTGATGAATTTTTAGGAAAAATTAAAGATTTTAAAATTCAAGACTTGATTGGTAAGAATTTTAATCTGTAAGTAAAAAATATTTAATTTTAATGATTAGTTTTGAAAAAAATTAATTAATTAATGGGAGAAGTTTAAAAATTTTAAAAATATTTTTTAACCTTAAAAAATTGTGATGGGGAGTGAAAAATTGTTGATGCGAGCCTGGTAATCCTTAGCTTGGCGTCGAGGATCTGTGTAGCTTAACTTTGGGAATGCTTGGTGGGAAAAGGCGTGTATTTCCGTTCGTCCGTCTATTCACCACTTACTACACCCGGGCTCGGTCGTAGAGCTACAGTAGATAGAGAGAGATAAAAGATTAAAAGTAGAGGAAAAACACGGAATGGAAAAGGAAGAGAAGTGGAAAGCGGGAAGAGAGAGCTCGGTAGTTTCGGAGAGAGAGAAACGGGGTCCACAACAAAATCGGTTTGCGCATTTAATTTGCGCTACAATATTAAAGTTAGCCGATATTTTTGATTTTTTTATTTATAATAATAAAGTTAGCCGACATTTTATAAAAATTAATTTAGCAGATATTTTAAAATTTTTTTAACAAATAAATTATGCCAAAAAAATGAACATTTAGAAAATTAAAAAAATAAAAAATCCAATTTTTTAGAAATAATTTTTTGGAGCAAATTTATTTATTAAAAAAAATTAAAAAATGATCAAGCGGCTGCTAACTGTAATGTCATTGACATTTTTGATTTTTTTATATTGCTTAATTTATTAAATTATATGAAAATTAAGTTAGCTGACATTTTAAAATTTTTTATTAAAAAAATTTCAATTAAACAAAAAATTTCACATGTAAAAATCTTGAAAAACTATAAGTGCAATTTTTTAGAAATAACTTTTTAATTAAAAAAAAACAAAAATTTTTAGACGTCTGCTAACATAGTCATTAAATTATAACTAAAAAATATTTTTAAAAAATTGCACTTATAGTTTTTGAAGTTTTTGACAAATGAAAAAAATTTTTTTGTAATAAAAAAAATTTTTAGATATCGGTTAACTTTATTTTCATAAGTTAGCCGACGTTTTTAATTTTTTTTCAATAATTAAATTAGAATAAAAAAATATTTAAAAATTGCACTTAGTTTTTCAAATGAATTTTTTTTTGTAATAATTTTTTCAATGACATTCAAGTCAGCTGTCACTTTATAATTTTTTAATTTTATTAAACAAAAAGATTTTTCCAAAAAATTATTTTAAAAAAATTGTATTTTTTTACATTTCTAAATGTCAATTTTTTTTTTCTTATTTCTTTTGCCATAATTTGTTATAAAATTTTTTAAGTGTCGGCTAACTTAATTTTCATATTTGCGCACTACTCCAAGAACTACCAAACTGTACGTAGCTCTACATCATCAACTAGCTTATACTAAAGTATACCTAGTACCAGACTGTACTAGTACTCTAGGACTTTACTGTAGCATTTAGCTCCATTCGAGCAATATCAAGCTCCGTCTCGCTTCAGCTTAAGCAATTCCATAAGAAACGGAACCACCAACACTGGCTCCTCTCTCTCAGGCCTTCCTTCAGCAGAGGCGAGAGCGAGAGACGAGGTTGTACTGGGTTTTACACAACACTCGCCGCTTGTCACACGTCGCGGTGCGACGTAGTCGTGTTATTATACATCCCGGTAACAAACGTGATTTAGATTTATTTATTTATCCTCATAATTTTTCAACCGCGTATTTGCTTTTAATTGGTTAAATAAATGTGATTTTAAATATTTCAACAACTGACAGTGACATAATCGAAGATTTTGTTGGATTTTTTTTTTATTATTTATTATATTTATTATTGTGATAATAAAACGCGAGTTTTTTGTTTTGTTGGTGAAATTCTGAGCCCCAGGCCCAATATTGGTATTTGTTTTTATCAATTACGTCAAGAACTGAGCTGTCATACGGGTCATGGTAAGGTACGATAAATATTTTTATTATTATTTTATTTTTATTTTATTATTTAATTTAATTTTTATAAAAAAAATTTTTTTTAGCAATTTTTATTTAGCTGATTGTTATTTAAAGAGAATGTATGTGTGTTATTTTTAAACGCGGGCGTTTGACACCGAGAGAACGTGGATTTGTTTTGGACACTTGACGCGCCAAATTTAAATTAAACCGCTCAATAATCAATTAACCATTAATTAACTATTATTACCTATCAATTATTGATGATATTTTTTTATTATGACTAATAATAATAAATATAATAAAAAATAATTGATTAAATATTAAAAATTGAATTTAAAAAAAAATTGTCACGTGTTTATCTGACAAATAATTAAGAGCGTAATTATTAATATTTAATTGAGATATTTATAAAGATATCCATAAATAAAAGCACAATACAATTGGATAGCAGTTGGCCCAGTTAAGCTAGAAAGGCTGAAGAAAAAGGAGCGTAATTGAAGTGGCAAAATAGAAAAGTACAACATCAAGCAATTGATTGTTAGCATCGTCTGCATGCGAGATCCTGGAGTGAATTGAACTCGAGATAAAAAATAATAAAAATGCTTGGTAATATTATACTTGCTACGAAGTGAGTGACAAACAGAAAGAAATTTAAGGAAGAAGAAGAAGAAGAAGAAGAAGAAGAAGAACGCATAAGGATTTTCTTGATTGAAATCCTGATGATTCTCGCATCGGTTGCAGTGATAAAGAGAAATGCTGGCTAGAAAGCAGGTCTTGAGTTCGAATCTAGGCCACCCCGATGCTGTACACATTCTCCACAATTTAACAGTGTCCGTCTCGGCCTTGCTTACTTTACTTAACATTACATTACTGCTCTCTATAGACTCATTGCGATGGTCTTAGCCATGATCTTATATCTATTTAATAATCAAAAACTCCACTGTTAGCTCTCTCCTCTTTGTTCTCTTGATTCTCTCAGGAAGTCTAAATGAAGACAAGACATATCACACATTAAGAGAATAGAACATCTGAGAAAAGCAGTAAAGAATAACAGGAGTATTATGATAACCAAGAGGTGAAACAAAAAGCAAATTTATAAATTGAGAAAGATAAAACATGAGGTGAATTATCATGGTTGACAAGCAGCTAAAGATGCTCAGAATGAAAGGATCTGAAATGAGAAGAAGCTCTCTCTCGCCTTTCGCGTCTTTGTCATTTTCTCTTTTGTCCCCTCTCGACATCTCTCACAAACTAAAACTCCAAGTTGGTTCTTTCCCTCGATTTCCCTCTAGCTTCACCATCTCCACTTCCACCTCATCCTCCCACATTTATATCTCATCTCTTTTTCTTTATTTCCTCTGTTCTGCTCCTCCATCTCTACACTTCTCATCACAGCCTTATACGTACACCTTTTATACAGAAAAATGTATATATATATATATATATATATATATATATATATAGACCAGAGTCTTCGATTTTTCGCTACCATACTTCGCTTTTATCTTTGTCTAAAAAGAATAATAAAAAAAGAAATAAAATATAAAAAAAAGGAGCTCTTTCCTCGTTGCGATATCTACCGTTATTCATCCGGACATTTCTGGCCATTTTTCTTCCTTTTCTCTCGTTTCTTTTCCCCTTTACTTTCAAGGATTGGACGTATATACACATATACAAACCAAAGCTAAGTAAAGTTAAGGCGGGGAGTAGAATGGAAGTAAAGTCTCAAAGCGCCATGAGAGGGATATAACACACAAGAAGTAAAGGAAAAAGAGACGTTAAGAGAAATAAAATGAGGAAAAAAAAAAACAAAGCTTCCTTCTCTTTTTCTTTGCTCGGTGCTTTAGCTCCACTACAACTTGCACACCCGAAGCAGACGGTGTATTTTTTTATTTATTTTTTACCCTGGCAAAGAAGCAGAAGCAAGCTAGGAGAAGAAAACTGGGAACAAGAAGATGGCAAACCCTCCTCCTTTCACCTCTCTCTCTGGTTCTTCGACCGGCACCCACCACCCACATCCTGTTTCTTCAGCAAACCTAAAGAAGACTCTGTAGAGAGAAGAAAAAGCCTTCACTTCTTATTCTAAAAGAGTAAAACGTCGTTATTATCTCTTCTTATTATTTTTATGCCTTTCTTCTCGAATTTCTCCACCTTTAATTTACCCAATGCTTCTAGATCCATTCGTTAAAAAACAAAACTTCTCAATTATTTTTTATTTTTAATTCTGGGAGTTTTAGGTATCTTCCGCACTGATAAAAGGATTCATTAATTATTAATAATTTAATTTATTTGAAGACAATTATTCAATTTTAATAAATGTTTCTTGACATTCGATAAATATTTATTTGGGAAGAAAGTACATTTATTAATAGTTAATAAATATTTTGTTGAGTGAATTTGTTTGGCTTGCAATGTCATATGATATCAAGATTGCTTATAAACAAAAATCACCTTTATAAATTATTTGAATTAATTATATTACATTAAAATAACGTTTATTGTAAAATATCAAAATCTATCACAGCTCATAATTATCTTTTATATTTTTAAATATTAAAAACGTTAATTTATTTAGTGAATTTAATTATTATCATGTATTCCAGCTATAGGATTATAAAAAGTGTTGATAGAAAATTGCTATTTTTGCTTTTTATTTTAAATAAATAATTGTTAACAGTTAACAAATATTTATTAAC